CTCTGTGCCCATGTCCTTCCTTCTTCGCTGATTCCGTCCACACCTTTGGGAACCCCTGGACCTGCTGGGGCTGGAACCCAACACTCAACCACTGAGCCACACTGGCCAGGCCATTCATTATTTTTTAGAGAGAGTGGGAGGAAGGAAGGGAGGTGGGGGGGGGGAGAAACATTAATGCAAGAGGGGCACATCTATTGGTTTCCTTCCTTGCATGCCTCCACCAGGGCTTGGATTGAACCTGCAACCCAGGTACATGCCCTTGACTAGGAATCAAACTGGTGACCCTTTGGTGCATGGACAGATGCTCTAACCACTGAGAAACCAGGCAGGGCAGCAGTTTGGAATTTTATTGTTGACATTTATTTGACACAGTATGCCAGGATTCTTAAAAAAAACCCACCCAGGACTACCCTACCTATCTGGACCCAGTGGTGCTAGGTACAAGCACGGGCCATTGTGCCCCACTAGCTCCCTGCTTTGCATCAGGTGAACTTGGGTGAGTTTCTCTCAGAATTCTGCCTCAAGTAGCAGGCCATGACTTTATCTGAGCTGTCCTTAGAAAACCCCTTGAGGTGGATAAGGGTTGAATTAACCCAGGGAGAGGGAAAAAAATGGTTTACTGCTTTTATTTTGTTTTTCCAGTTCTTTTCTTTTTTTAAAATTGAATTTATTGGTGTGACATTGAGTAATAAAATTAGATAGGTTTCAGGTGTATGGTTATATAATACATCAACCGTATATTGTATTGTGTTCACCACCCCAAACTGAATCTCCTTCCATCACCATTTATCCCCCTGCTTTTAATCTCGGCTTTTTAATTGAATTGCTTACTGAGAATATGAACAAATTATTTGCTGGTTAAATGAGAGACTGAACTCTCTTTAGCTCCAGAAAAGAAAGGACACTTGCTTCCCCATCCCAAATAGCCAGTGGGGTGACGACAGCTGTTCAGACATCCAAAATCACAGTGACAGAGATGGGTGCAGAGAATCGTCCAGTGCAGTAACACAGCTGGATCTGGAGAAGCCAGCGGAGCCCCAACAGGAAGGGTAGGGTGCCCCAAAATGGGTTCACCCCAAAGAGGGGCCCGAGAAAGGGGCCTGTGCCTTGGAAAGAGTCATAGGTCCCATGGATCAGGTGAGCTCTTGCTGGCCCTTGCCTGGGTATTCTTTGGTAACTAAGTCTCTGTGGGGTTACCTGAGGAAAAACTTCCTCCAGGGTGTAGAGCAGTCCTACAGGGATATTCACTGCATTTAGCTCCTCCAGAGACCTGCACGTAAGGGCTGCTTTTCCCTAGAAGTTTTTGAAGACTCCACAGATCTCAGCATTAGCAGGGGGAGTCATGCCTCTGAGGCCAACAAGCCCCATGATAGTCAGCCTTCTATTTATGTAGCTACGACCGCCAAGATGAGGATCCCCCGATGCCTCTAATCTTTTGCACTC